CCCTCACTCAGCAAACAAAAGGAGCTAAGTGCTTAATAACATGGGGAAAAGAGGATCTGAATGATGCTTTGCCACCCTGCACCAGCTCCTTCTAGTCCAAAGACAGCAGCATCACTTCCAGAACATAAAGGATCTGAGGATCTGATCTATAAAGTCAGACAAACGGCCATATAACAGTCAGACTGAATATATGTCAGGCTGCCATGGAAATGACTACTGAAAAATGGTATATTCCCACTTTCAAAATCAAGATATCTCTCATCTGACTGGAGGAAAAAAATACAGGGCTATGAATGACAGCATTGCTATCTGGTGCAAAGCAGGGCTGAAAATGGCATGTCCMTTCTTCCCTAAGGCTCCCCTTTTCCCACTGTCCTTTCCAGAACATCTGGCCTCTTTTTCTCCCCCAAAGCTACTCTATTCCTCTCCTGCCACCTCACRTATTTTTCCTCTAAATGATGTACCTTCAATCAGATAAAGTAATATTGCCTGTGTAGCAAAAAGCTGCCTTGGTGCTATTTAATCAGTGACAATCCTTGCAGAGGCAACTCAGCACTCACAAGCAAACTCCAGAGAGAGCTACAAAGATACCAAAGAAACAGGGTTGGAAAGCAAAACTCTTTCCTCCACCATCCCCACCAAAAAAATAGGAGGTCGTGGTGTTCACCCAAGAGAGCCAATCTGATGCCATGTTGGATATGACCTGTACAGAACAGAATTTGGTAGTGATGATGAGAAGARATGAACTGTTTTCCCCTGGGGTAGCTGATCCTCTCCACGCCATCACTGGTTGTGTTTCCAGTGGATCAACAGATACAACCAGGTGTCCTTGATCTTCCTCGTCTGCATTTCTCCCTTCCAGCCTGAGTCTTATCAACCCTTTTCCCCTCTTCTCAGTACCGTCTATCCTCATCTACCTGGTTCCCAACAGCCTATAGTAGTCCACTCAATATAACACAGAGTTTGGGGTAAAGCTAAGACTTTCTCCAAGGTACAAGATGGTACAAGAGGATACAAGATGGTACAAGACGGTAAAATCCTCATCTTTACAAGGAAGAAGGAGCTTAAAGCAAGTGATCTGTCTGCTTATCCAGCGCTCAAAACACTGGGTTTCATTTCTAATTCAACATCTGAGTGTTGCTGTTCTAGCCATCTCCAAATTATGCTTTGGCTCGGCAGTGAGGAAAACAGAGCAGCCAGCCTCATTTTTAAGCAGATGCACTAAAACAGCTTTTTCAGGATCCCCTCCCAGGCTCAGGCTGATGCTGCAGCTTCCCTCTCTCCGACAAGCTCTCCTAGTAATCAGCTTTCTGGCTCCGCTGCGTTTAACACGAAGACTCGTGGTGAACTATCAGTGAAGCCTGAACAGCTGCAAAGATCTGGCATCCAGTGCAGGGCTCCGGGCCAGCGGAAAGAGCAGGGAGGAAGGGAGGGAGGGAGGGAGGATACCCCCTTGGAAAGAATACGGCTAAGGCCGTTTCAGGAAATGCTGCAGTGTCAGATGCAGGAAGAAGCCGAAGTAAAGCTTGGCTTAACCTGTGAAGGGTTGCTCAAGGGGGGAGAAGTCTGCTGGGAGCCAGATGGGGATGGAAAAGTCAAGTGCTAAATGTTCGACTGTTGATGCTTTAAGCTCCTGGCAGGACCTGGAGCTGCAGGACATTACGGGAGGGCTGGACTGAAAACATCGCTGTGCTCTGCCTAAACACTTGTGAGATTAATGCGCATGAAAGGATTGCTCTTGCTTTATATCAGCAGAGGCAAAAAAAAAAAAAAAAAAAAAAAAGGATCAGATTCCCGTTCTCAGAAAAAAAAAAAAAAAAGGAAAATCTCTACAGTCATTTGAGTAATGTGTAGTTTTTCATGGGGCTGAACAAGAGGCTTATCATCCTACAAGGCAGCTTTTTAAACAAGGCCATTCAGCCTTTCCCCATTTCCCACCTCAAAGATAGGCAGTGCAGAGATTTCTCTTTGGTCAAAGCAGCCTCTGGTTTTGGAAGCTTGTAGAGGAGCAGAAAAGATGAGGACAGGTTGCTGGTGCTGGCTGGAGGGAGTGAGGAAGGAATGAACATACACAAATGAGGGATGAGTTGATTGGACCAGTACCAGTGGCAAGTAAATATATGGAAATAAGATCCTGTCTCTACCAAAGATAATTCCCAATATCCTGGTAGAGATAGTTCTCACATAAACAAGTGCTTTGCCTGAAAAAACTTAGCTCTTACGCATCCTTTGCCTGCACATATATTAGGTGACACCCTTGCAGTGAGTGCAACACTGGGTTTTGATASCGGACACCTTTTGCTTTCACTCTCCACCCACTCTGCTTCCACAGTGAAGCTTGGGGCACGATGAGCTCTTACGTTTTTATCGTGCATTTTCAGCTGAAACTCTCTAAAACAAAACATGGCCATGTCCCTGAGAGATAACAGAGGCACGTACATGCAATGCACTCCTTGTAGACAGCGTCACTGTGACAACCAAAATCCTCTTCTGGGTCAAGAAGCCCCCAGATTAGCTAATGCTTTTTCTTCTCTAAATAAAAACAAAATGCAATTGTCTAATGAAAGAAGCCTCCATCGGTAGCCTAGAGAACTCTTCCTTTAAAACCCCTGACTTTCAATATCAGGTGCYATATGAAGATCCAACTCAAGTGCTTTACAGATGCAGAGCACAGCAGGGCTAATTCTGTAACAGTGACCAGCCTGGATACAAAGCAAGACCATTGCAATAGCTGTAAAAACGTTTCAGAGTGGAGTGGGATTTTATTACTGCATTCATACAGTTTCTTACACCCTCTTCCACTTCTCTGGCAGACGGCAAAGTGACAAAATATATACCAAAATCCTCAAAATATATACCAAAATCCTTAAAATACAGATGCCCTGCATCTGCTTTCTTGCAAAAGCTGCTGAGTTCATCCCTTAGAGAGCTGATTCAAGCAGAATCTGGGCCTGCAGCTAAAAATTTCAGTGTGTATTGGCTGGCCCCAAGCATTTCTTCTCCCTGCTAAATTCAGTCACTTTTGCCGAAATGGACAACTCTAAGGAAAGAATCTGGAGAAATGTTTCGGAGAAAGAGGCCTCTGGAAACTTCAGAAGTTACAAGGGCAGATATAAGCTCGGATTCTTTCTTTTGCCACTTTTGTGCTTAAGGCAGATAATCAGTTCTGGTCAGATAATGTCTCCAGGCTGTCATATCCAGGTATCTACTATCACTCCACACAGACTCCTTTTGGCCCTAAAATCGGTGGCAAAATTCCCTTTACCTCGTGCAGATGTGATAAAGTCCGAATATCCAGATCCTTTCATGGCTCATGCAGCAAGCTCCAGGACACATATGCTCAGCAAGAGATGAGCAAACTTTGGCCACCTGCAACTGCGTCCAGCTCTCTATTATTAGACATAGGACTCAAATATTGAGTGTGAATGGGGGCAGGCTGTGGCTGGCCCATCTCTGAATGCAAACCAGAAATGAGGCTGTAAAACATCTCCCTGCTGTCACCTACTTTCTTTCAGACAGGTTACACCTTGACACTGAAGGAAAGTGTTTTGAGAAGATTAAGAAAGCATATCAGTTGGCTCCTTGCCAACTAAAATGCCACTTTAGCACACAGAGTTCGTTGTTGTTTTCGTAACAGCTGGTAGCTCTTCATCTGAGAGCATCTCAGTAAAAATCCCGTATGGAAGAAGATGCAGGCAGAAATGACCRTCCCACCTGAAAGAAATTGTCCGTGCTCTTCTCTTTAGACCTCAAGAAAGGAGTTTAAAGAGCTAKGGGAATCAATTATCTTCATCAATTATCAAGTATCTTGAGCTCCACAGAGTCCCAGCTCTGCCCATGGAYCATCCATCTCTGCCTGCAATGCACTCTGCAAGGCTTAACCACAGGAGGAAGCTGTGCACAGAGCATCTTTCCAGTCCTCTGCAGATGGGAGATGGGCTGAGCTGCACGCAGGGGCTTGCACAAACTCCTCAGCCCCTTGTGTGACACAAAAAGAGTCAATTCAGCTCCTTCCCTCCCTTTGCACAAAGCCTTTTTATTCTGCATCCACCCAGGCTGTTCTCACCCCGACAGAGACAACACTGTCGTATGAAAGACCAGCTGATCTTCTGGGCTGCCCATGGGGGTGAGGAGGACAAGGGCTTCTCAGACAGCCCTGACCCACTGAAATGTCACCAAGCTACATGTCAGATGAACACAGGCTGGGCAGCAAGGGCTGCTCTGTGCTGCAGAGAAGGGCAGATGACCAGATGTGCTAGTTACTGCACATCTGCAGTACTGCCTTTCTCCAGCCCCAAATAACACCGCTCCCTGGGCTTCCTCCTACTTCATGGCAATCACAGCAGTGACCTCATGGTCACCTCCTGAGAAGATGGCCATGCAAGGGCGGATCACTTSCCCAGGATAACCTGGCCCTGGGCTCTTAAACGTGCCTTTCAGGAAGGCACCAGGGCATTACAAGGAACCCAGACCACAGGAAGCTGCTACCTCTCCCAACCACCCCTCAAAATCTCTTTGGRCACAGGGAGGGATGGGCACTGCTACAGCTGCTCAGCAATTGCATTAGCAAGCACAGACCCAGCACAACTGCACTCAGCTCTCAGATCCCATCTTCTAAGGAACCAAAAAATCACTTTGCCTGTCCAAGTCTCATCTTCTTTTCCATTTCCAAATGGATCAGTAAGAGTATTCAGAGACAGTGCACTGCCCTGTCTTTCTCAGCAAGATCACCCAGCTCCAGGTCAGATCTCTCTGTCTTATATATGGGGAAAACAAGTCACCGAGAAGCCAAAAGACATCTTTGCTCCTGGGCTTTATTGGGAGCAAAACAGCCTGCATCCGAGGGCAGCAGGTCTTCATGGGTCAATCTGCTCCCAGTAAGAGCTGCAAGTATTCAAGCATCATCTCCAGAGATTTCCAATTAAACCATCCTCTGGTTTAAAATCCTGGCACACTATCTTCCCCACACCAGATCATTTCACCTTCCTGAGCACACTTACTTTTGGCCGCTTCCACTGGATGCCCTGGATCCTTGACTTGTAGAAGAGTGAGTCATCGTTGGCAGGGAAAAGTGGGTCCTCAAACAGTTGCTTCCTCCTCAGGCATTCCTTCTTGAGGGAGGCGTAGCGCTGGTTCTCGTACGGCTTCACTGAGGAGAACATCCTTCCCGGTGGCCCTGGGAGGACAGGCATAATGGGGGTGAGATGGAGCTGAGCTCAGCCTGGGATATTTGATTTTCCTCTGCAGCCCTGGATGATTACACTGAAAAGTCATCACTGTCATCAGCCACCCAGGCCTTCCACTCAAGCACACCCCACAGGCCATGGTCTAGATCCCAAGGTACCACATTTACAGCCCCTTGAAGGTCTGCTGGCTCCCTCACTGAGATAAGTGACATTAGGAGGGATCATCASCAATTTAAACACCCATGGAAAAGCCCTGCGTGTCAGTGAGGACGGGCAGATAGTCCTTTAAGCCCATTCCTAATTTGTTGATCCCAGAGTTGGCCAGACACCACCAGAACAGCCTGAATTGGAGACTACAACCAGTGTCCTGCCCATGGGCACCAGCGTCCTAGTGAACAGTAACTCTAGGCATCGTCACTTGGTTGTCATGTAGTGATGGACATATCCCTGCCTGGAGAACATCGGCTGTCCCCAGAGAGGTGGCACTTAAAGAAATCCTTCTGCTCCCACCACATAGTCCAAAAACTACATGTGCCCCATGATTTCAATAGAGATGCTAATTTCTCAGAAAACCTTATCAGATCCTCTGGCTTGTTTTTAATTAAAGAAGCTGTTCTGGCAGAGGACCACGTGTTTCTGGATTAATTAAAAGTCTCCTGGATGAGGACCACGTGGTTTTGGATTAATTATTCTGTCTTTACAAGCGTCTAGTTTCCAGGGCCCAGATGTGGATACAACAATCTAAACGAAAGCAGAAAAATGTTGCCAAAATGTCCCCTGAAGAAGAGCAGCATCTGAGATGTCGTTCTCTCACCCCAGGTCCCAGGGTTTATGTGACTGCTTACAAATGAGYGCCAGTTTGGAGGCAGTGACACATYCTTYGCTAATGAATTGCCCGGAATACTGAAAGGGAAGTGGGTGTTAGGGGGCTAACCCTGTCCTGTCCCACCAAAGCAATCACTTTTGAGCCTCACACCCCCAAGCCTGTCTCTTCTAACCTGGGTAAGAGGAAAATACTTAACAGAAGAATTCTGCAAAGCATAGGCTTTAATTGACTGTGTTCATCAGTCTGATTAGCAGTAAGGAGTGCTAATTCAGAGCCCAAGTGAACCCAAAATAACCCTATTTTTGGCTGCACCAAGGAATGCTCCACAGGTCTCCCTGCTGCTAGGGGTCATTTGCTAAGGCATTTTTTTGGGTTCTTTGCGGCAGCCAGCAATTTTTCTCCAAATCACTTAGTGTGTCACAGCACTCCTCCTTGAAGGACAGTGACTGCAAATTACTGTGTGGAAGGGATAATTAGGCCTTTACCTAAATAAGATCTCAATCACAGAAGATGGACCACCCTTAAGATGTGGGAATGTGTACAGAGATGGAATGTGTACAGTTTGGACTGGGGCAACATGTAGATGTGTCTCCCATGAGGAAACCATAAGGAAAGGATGTCTGAGCTGCACCAGACTGATGATCCACCCATCACAGAGTTCTGTCTCTGGAGACATCAGAGCAGGAACATAGCAAACATGTAGTGATATTCCTCCAGGATGTTCTCCTAGCCTCCAGAATTTTCTTGCAGCCATTTTAGGGCAGATTTCTCCCTCCTACAAATGATTTTTTTCTGCATGACTTGGCCTGTTTGAACACTATGGCTAGGATCTTGCCTAGGTGTGCCCAAAAGAAAAGGACTTAATTAATCTAGGATTCTTTGAAGGCATATCAGCAGAGTGTTGAGGTGATAAGGCTAAAGGGCTTCTACTGATGTTCCAAGCATTTTCCCTTAGCTGATATCAAGGCCTGAATAATACACCACAGCATCAGCCCAGGCTTGGCTGGAAGCTGGAGGAGGCTTTTTCTCATCTCAATTACCTCCATCAGTGCAGGTCTGGGCACTCACATCCTGGTTCCACTGGGACAGGACCAACCTGCTCATGTTGTGGCATGTTGTCCATGCTGCATCCTTTGCCAGGAGCACAGTGAAAGTCTAGGGTGCACAGGGGTGGGGGGCAAGAGACAGGGTAGGTGTCTCCAAGGAAGTCATGGGGGATGACATCTCAGCAGCAAAGGAGCTGCTTTCAAGTGACAACCAGCTTGAGACTTTGCAGTGACTATTACTGCTGCAAGGAGAGACACCATCAAAGCAATAGACCGGGAAGGGATGGTTGGCAGCCACCTCCTGAACGGATGTGACAGKGTGAGAGAGAAAGATGCTGCCGTCATTGAGACACAAGATGAATCGCTTGGACCGGTGCATTAGCTGGCCCGACAGACAGGGAAGGACGTTTCTACAGGACGTCATGCAGAAAGAGCCAGCAAGATTTAGGAACAGATCCCGGAGAGGAAGGGAGGTCTGGTGCCTTTCTCAGAGCTACGCTTCAGCTACGATGGGAGTTATGGCCTTGACGCAGGAGATGCTGCAGCCTGTCCCGTGGTACAGGGCTGTCACTTGGCTGCTCATTCATAAAATTGCTGTTCCTCCCTCAGGAGCTYTGCAATGGCAGCTTGGAGTTGTGCATTCCAGCAAACTTTGAGACACTGATTGCCACAATACCTCATAATCCACACGCCCTGAGCAATACCCAGCCCCCTGAGAACTGCATCACGGTCCTCTTGGCCTGGGGTTCCCATCCCTTCTATAGCCCATCCTCGCTTGAGAGCAGTTCAACTCCTTGCCCTGATTTCCCACATCACATTGACCTTCACATCAACATCTGCCTGCCCTCATTGCAGAGCTGCTCTCACTTGGAAAGGGAGCTCCAGCACTTCTTCTTGCCCTCACAGCCCTAATGCAAAGATTGATTTAATAAGCCGGGCAAGGCAGATGGAGATCTCTCTGACCCACAAGCTCCAGCTGCAGGTACAGCACAGTGTTTCACTCACTCTCTTCATTTCCACTGCTAGCAAGGGCAATGCTCTGCCCCAGAAGCAATGTTAGCATCATGGGAAGTGCAGAAGCTGCTTGTAGAGCATGTCATGATCCGCAGGGAGGAGGAGATTAGATGCAAAATGTATCTGAATAGGTGGCCCAGGGGTGGAAATGGATTTGGGTTGTTGCAAAGGAAGTGCTGAGCAGGATGAGGAAGGATATTGTTCAGGAACATTTTTAAAACTCGCAAAATAATTAAAGGAAGGGGAGAGTTCTTACAGTGATGTTAAAATTCATTGCCCTCTCTTACTTGCAGAATTTCATGCTTACCAGGCAGGCCTTTAGATCTGTAACATTTAAATGCTCATGGCAGCCTAATTGCTTGTTGCCTTCTTGCACAGAACCAGGCTCTTTCATGCCCGGTCCAAACTAGCAAAACTACCCGTGGGTAGGTGTGTGTGCATAGGGAGGGGAATCCACCTTCATACCCCTCTGCGGAGGACTGGAGTTCTGTTAACAGTGGTCTGAACATACCTCAGTACAGCCATGAGGGAGTTAAGTGAGAAACAGTGTTATTTTAGGAGGGAGCCAAGCGTATGACTCACTTATGGATTATGGAATCTCCCTTTTCACCTCCAGTCCAGGCTTTCGAGACCAGCGCTCCTGCCAGCTGGTAACAATCAAAGCTCCAAGCTCCAAAACTGGGATAATTATTGAAAGTGCTTGTGTTGGCCAGGACCGAATCTTGCTAAAAGGCTGTTCCTTCTCCTCGCAGAAAACCCTTTCTCTCCTTCCCTATGTGCTCAGAGGTTCTTGTAGCTCAGGCATAATGCACTTTATCAAACCAGCCAAAAGCAATGGGTCTTGCTTGCAGATCCTACAGTTTTCACCTAGCAATGCCTCTACACCAGACAACATGGTTTGTCCTTGGAGGACTGGACTGGCTGGTTCTGTCCACCTATGATAAACCATAAGTGGTCTGCAGCAGTTGCCATCCCAAAGCCCTTCCCGTTCCCACACATGATTCTTTGTCAGCGAGTCTGCTGTAGTTTAGTTCTGGATTCAGAGTGATAGAGCACAAACCCACCAGGATCACATAAACGTCTGCCTCAGATGTTACGTGCCAGCTCACAAGCACTAGCGGCTGAAACAACACCACTGAAAATCAGAAAACAAGGTGTAATTTCTCCAAGACTGACTGCGGTTGATCAAAAGAACTAATTCCTCAGGGAAGTCATAGGTTTTTCATCTCTAGATTTTTCTGGATAGAGCTGAACATCTTTCCAGAGATGTTTCTTTTACCAAAACACAGATTAATATGCATTTGCAGCTGTAACTTGTTGAAACAAAATTGTTAAAGAACAGAAGATTGAACGTTCCTTTCTGGTCTTTATCCCTCTCCTTTATCCAATGGTCAAAGAGTTTCTTTGCCCCCATCTAACAGCTGTAAGCTCCATTGGGCTAAATGCAGAGCAACTATATTTGCTCTTAAATACACATCTATAAAGCTCTGATTTTGTCTCYGATTTGCTGCAGCACAACTGGGATCTGAATCCACACAGCAATACCCAAGYATGGTGCCTTTCAGCTAGGGGGTTAAAACCTTGTTTTTAACAAGTGGACCAGGACATGATCCCCAATGCAAAAATCCAGTTTACATGAAGCAAATTTAGTTTCTCACAACAATCTTAATCRAGATAAATGTTATCTATTGTCACTGCATTGATGCACAGCTTTTCATAAGCACATGAAGCAGATACATTCATTTTCCTGTGGAYAGATAAGCATTGAATAAATAAAAGTCTTTTAAAAAGCTTGAATCATCAGGCACTGGAAAATAGAGAGAAATCTCATAGAAATGGGTACTGTTACAGCTGCAAAGGAGCTGGGGACAAGCTCATCGATAGCATCCTCCAGTACGAGCAGACATCTGCTATCACATGCAAAGACCAACTTAGAGTAGCTGCAAAGTCCTTCTGGATTCCCCTGTTCTGCCTCAAATCAGAGGGCCGTATTACTCCCGGTTGATCATCACAGCTACATACATAAATATATAGAAGGCTCACAAGTTTTGTAGCACAGCTCAACTGCCCTCCCCCCCTTATCTTGGGTG